TGTGTGTGTGTGTGTATGTATGTATTATATATATATATATATATATATATATATATATGTATATGTATATATATATATATATATATACTTAAAGAATATTAATAGATAATAAAGAAATGACTATTCTATTCTTGAGAAATCACAAAAAGAACTGATAAATGTTTCATTAAACCATACTGAGAGTAGTAGTACCGTAATACCCATCCCTATTCCATGTGTGAACTCTCTTATTTTACCGTGTGGAATATGAAGTGCTTTTGATGGAGTTTTATTACCCCTCTTAACCATCAGCATATTGTGAAGTGCAGCCATGTGCCAAAGAGTCTCCTGCATCATCTATTGTTTTCTAAATGATCTTGCCAGTAATTCCCTCCTCTGGCCTCTGCAGACACTGAGCTGTTGTAACCATAAACCACAGTGCCTTTACACTGACTAAGGACGGTGAAGGAACCATTTTACATTTATGTTGCTTTTGTTTTGTCATTATTAAGCATTCGCAATATAAAAACATGGTATGTATATATCTATATTGTCTTTCTCTTCCTTCCTTTCCTGCTTTAGAAATGAACTCCACGCCATAGTAGATGAAGTGTACATGCTGACGGTCTTTGATGAATCTGTCACCTTTCACAGTGTCCTCAGTGTAGACAGGTACTGCATGAATCTAACCTCTGCATGATTATTATATTGCACCCTTAATCATAACAATTGTGACTGAAGACAGCCTCTTAACTGCTAATGATGTGCTCTTATTTCAGTCTGCCCGACCCACAGAGGACGCATGTAATGTGGGGGATGAGCAAGGTACGCACTGTGCTGACTTTATATATCCCCCTTGCTGACTGTGCAGTGAAATGTTTTGTTTTTTTTTTCCAGCGGGTGTCACTGTGTTCACAGTCCTTTTCCATTTACTGCATCTTGTCATTTCTAGGACTTTGCAATGGCAGGAATCAGAATTGGCACCCTGTATACTGAGAACAGAGACCTTGTGGAGGCTTTGGCCCAGCTGGGCTCATTCCACGGTATCTCTGGAACCACCCAGCACCAGGTAGCACAACTTCTTCAGGACAGAGGTATGAACACCAGCTTCACATATGCTTTTGCTAACACTATGTATTAAAAAAATAATCCTCCTTTTGCTAAAGACCAGTCAAAATTCCCACTAATATCATAAGCTCTCTTGTACAAAGCAAGCGGTTTGTTTGACCGAGTTTAAATTCATGAATGGAAATTAGTTTGAATGCAGGCTTTTCAACAATTCAAACATGTGCTTCCTAGCGGTTTCCCTGCATTCAAGAGATATCATCCCCCCCTTTTCAGCTTCTGCTGATATGACAGGAGCACAGCATGGGGTTCTGGTGCGCATCATGCTGCACAAAGCCTTGTAACATTTAATTTACACTTATCTGTTATCACTTCACACTGTCATGTTCTAGAGTGGATCAGCAAGGAATATTTGCCTGAGAATAGATGCAGACTGAAAGCTGCTCACAGTTACCTGACAGGAGAGCTGCAGGATATGGGCGTCCCCTACCTGGACAGACCTGCTGCGCTGTATGTCTGGGCTGACCTCAGAAAGGTACCAAGATGTTGGGTCTGATATTTCAGTTCTTACTTGTGCATAGCTAATTCACATGCAAATAACTTCTTGGACACATCGCGTGTGCATTCCAGTAAGCTCGATGTGTCACTTCTGTCTCTCCATTTTGGTAGTACCTCAAAGAGTCGTCATTCGAGGAGGAGTTGTCTATGTGGAGGTGTTTCCTCAGACACAAGGTGGTTTTGAGCTGTGGTCAGGCCTTCTCCTGCTCCACACCCGGCTGGTTCCGCATTGTCTTCGCAGACCAACAGCACCACCTTCAGCTTGGTAAGTCCGAGTGTTATGTTCTTTTGAACTTTTTACTCCCACTCACTTGTTCAGCTGCTCTCCGTCTTAAATTGTGTGTTGAAAGGTCGATCAATTTTTTAGCTTTTTAAATAGCGTGTTATTCATTCCCCCTAATTCCCATTCTATGCCTTAAACTAGAAATTGATTAGATTGTATCTGTGGTTACATTTATTCAGTCAATGGTTTGTGTTATTTCAGCTCGTCTCCTGCCTCATGTCTTAAACAAGGTATTGTTTGGGTAATAGTTACTGACTTGTTCTGTTAATGGTTTGTGTTATTTCAGGTCTGAAGCGAATTAGGGAGGCTTTGAAAGAAATGGAAGGAAAAAACAGCAGCCCTGATTCACACTCTATCAAAGACGCCAGTGAGGAGAGCAAAAAGTCCGTGAAAGAGGACAGTGCAGATTCAGACAGTGCGGCGATTGTCAATTCAACATCATCACCCCAGAGCAAGTCATCCGACCAGCTGAAGGAGAAGGACAGACCTGTTCCTGACACAGACTCGCTGGCCACTGAGGAGTTAGTGTTGCTGGACTGCCAAGCATCGAAGCCCACAGACGGTTTGGATTCTTTAATCGGGACTCTCAGGCACCAGATCCACTCCTCTGATTGGCTGGAGAAAAACACTCCAGAGTTGTCTGCTGGAGAGGACCCAGAGATTCTTGATGTATTCAAGGCCCTGCTGCAAAGAGCCAGAAAGTAAGCTTAGGATAAACAGGCACAAATGTATAGCTGCCAAATTTCAAGAGGCAGCACTTCAGCATCCTCCTTACTCCCTGCGTCTGTGGTGAAAGGCTTGACACACTAACACCTGACACGAGGTAAAATCTGATGCCTGTTTATGAGTGAAGAGGGAGTATTAGCTGAGAGCAAACCATAGAGGGAAGAAGAAAAGTAATGCAGGCAAGGTCAGGATGAAAGAACAGGACCGAGTACTTTTCTATCTGTATCTTGAGGCCTTATTTTTAAGCTGCTAAGGGAGACGGCCTTGTGTTTTTGTAATCCAGACTCAAAAGATTAATGTTTATCTACTCAAATCATAAGTGAATGCCAAATGTAAATCAACCAAAATCAGCCATGTGCCATTCTTAAACATTTTAAGTCTCTAAATCTGAATTGTACACCTTTATTATTTGGTCATATGCACTTTATTTTATCAGAATGTCTTGTACTGTGTGTACAGTTAATGATCTGTGAATAAAGTAAAGAATTATTATGTCTGTATTTGACTATAATCTTTCATGTACATTAAATCTGAATCAGTTTTAACCAGTGGTAAATATCTTGACAGTTTTTATTATTAGATATCTTATTTTTTTTGTACAAAACATTCTCTGAAGGCATTTCAGTGGGACATTTTTTTATTTTATTTGGGTGGTCTGTGGGCGCCCTTCCGTTACAACAAAGGAAAGTGCAGGGGGAGGTACAGTAGTTATGTGACGAAGGGGAGCAACATCTGTGGTTGAAGATGCCATCTGACACATTGAGCCCCACTGTGATAAACAGAGAGAGTGGGATTTCCTTAAATGTTTTGTCATGAGTAATGACCTGCCGACACCCCCCCACACAGTTTCTGCATTTGACAAATGTCTGAGTGCTATGTTGCTGGTACAGAGTATCTCTCAAATAGCAAGGGAATTCAGACTTTTTAACTTCCTTTAAATGTGCAGTAACTCTATTCATTGTTGCTTGTTGTTGTTAGATACACAAACTTCTCCTTCCTCAAATATTGAATGACCGTTGCAGGTGCTTTCACTTTCCCTACAGTGCGAGTTGGTAGGTCACAGTGGAGAATTCACGGGGAAATTTAGCCGCTGGCTGGGGGAGTTTCCATTGCAGCAGAGGCGGGGTAAAAAAAGGGTTTGATCTACGAGTGAGGGCTTGTGGTCATGAGTGGTACAAGTGATATTATGTCAGTGTGCTGAAAGTGTTAGTACAGTAGGAGTTGTAGAGCAGTAAACATAAGTAGTTTTAATAGTAGTCTGTACAAAGATTACCTTCACAGCTTTGTTCCGGACACCTTTCTGTTCTCTACCAAACAAAGGTAAGACAGTACTTTAATTATAATTCTACATTCTAAAATTTTGAATTATATAAACTAAATAAGGTTAATTTTCCTTCTGTTACTCAACTTCAGTACACTCTAATTAGACATGTATTTCCTTCTGTCTCTCTCGGTTGTGTAGAAAAATGAAGTTGCTAGAGCTGGGGGACTCCATCAGTCGCTTCAGATTTTCTCAGTCCTTTGTGGGGCTGGCAGGTTGCCTGTGTGTGTGCTATGCGGTCTGGACACCATTTTGGCTGAAGGAGGGGGGACTCTGGACTGAGTGGAATAACACTAAAAGTGACCAGACCTTTCGCAAAGACGGCACTGTCTTCAATGGTGAGCAACGGGCCACATTCACCTCACTGACAATTCCTGAAGCCAGCAACTCTGTCTAAAGCTGTCACTCAGGGTTAGATCAAAGGTTTGACTGACATACAGTATGACATGCCAAATAAAATGTATGAGGCAGGACAGCATATTCAATGAAGTATAAACATGTCTTTGCTGTGCTGTGTTGATATGACACTGGTTCTGCTAGAGATAATCCTTAGGGAGCCGTTTTTACACCTCTGAATCTCTAAAGATCAACAACAGGAACTTTTGAAACATACTGGGTTGCAGATGAGCTTCTCGGCAGTAGTATGTAAACAAGTTTGAGCTTGCTTCTGTTGAGAGAAATGCATTCCTTGTATCTGCAGGAGCTCACACTTTGCTGAAGTCAAATGTGTTTAATCTTGGTCAGCTGAAACTCGGTCTTTGGCAGCTACATTTCTTGTCATTGTTCACTGACAGATATTAGGTCCCCTGTCAGGTTGAAGAAAAAGAAAGCTGTGTCAATTTTTTTATTGGAAGCTATCGTCAAACTCTGCAGTATCTGACAACAAATTCAGTAATAGTGGTTATAAACTGGGGGGAAAAAATGCCAGAGTTACACCAAAGGTATTAGAAAATGAATTAGTACAGTAACAGAAAACTAAACTGGAATCAGAAAGTGTAGATTATGATAGCTCTTATCACATGGAGAAACAAAATATCATGAGTGAAAGGACATTAAGTCCTCACAGGCAGTACAAGATAGGGATTAATCTAGAAAACAGAGTAACATTGTAAAAAGTAAAAGTAAAAAAAGTGTAAAATACAATAAGGTTAGCCGAACTGTAATTAATAGACATAATAGCCAGCTTGGTTATCAATAAACACAGAACAACTAAATCAAACAAATTACCAATTAACTGTCACAAAATGTATGTATACATATATACATATAGATATTATTTTTTAGATATTTGATGCTTTTATTATCTAAAGAGAAAGCAGGGAATACAGAGGGGGATGTAACACTGATACTGATAAGTTATTAACTTGTGTGCACAAGAGCCATATACTGCGTCATTATGTACTGTCCAAACACGCTTTCAGAATAAGTCTACTGTAGTGAAATTAGCTCCATATGTATGGAAACTACCTAGAAGTGCATGAACTCTTGCTTTCTATATTTTGGTTTCAATTGTAGGCAGGGAAATCCAAAGGAGTATGTCATCACCTCAACATGTTTCACTTCATCATGCTGACTAGTTACAGTAGAAACTAGTTACAGTAGAAAGCGAAGATCAGTCTAGTTTACCTTTCTCATATGTTCTCTGTTGGTTTGTGTCTTCCAGCGCTGGAAGCAGAGAGAGTATTTGGAGTCCTCTCCTTCCTCATGGCTGTGAGCACTGGTGCTCTGTGTCTGGTGTTTGCCCTCTGCTGGACATCTAAGACGGTGCGCTCCTACTCCAACACTCGCTCTCTCCTCATGGCAGGACAGGCGCTCTACCCCACCACACTGCTGCTGCTAACCATGGCCTCTACAGGTAACGCCACTGCACTGCTCAACCCATGTGAAACGCTTGTTTTCCTGAGTGTGTTACTTTATTTATAATTATTGTTGTTGTTTTGGGAGTTTTAAAATATATACATTCATTCCAAGTAGTAAAGTAGTAAAAAAAATAGCCCCATTTCCAATTAACCTCCAAATAGCCTCTTGGTTTGTGTAGTTCATATCAAACCCAACTCCCAGAAATTCTTTTATGTGCTAGTAATTTACATACCCTGCAGGAAAGCAGTTTTTAAAGAGACTTTTACTTCCATTGGAATTGCAGTTCATTATCATACAAACTCTTTTCTAAAGCTCCAGGCATGTAATAATTGACCTTAATGACTTCTTTCTTCTCCTCGCAATGATACTTGATTTGACTCCTTTTTCTCTTCTATCTACAGGTTTCTTCTTCCTCCTCAGCTGGTCTCTTTTCACTTATCAGCACCGGGAAGAAATCAGTCAAGACTTCTCCAGCCTCGGCTCCTCCTATTGGCTAGGGGCATTAGGGTGGGTTCTGCTGCTGGTGGTGGAGACGATAATCTTTATAGCTGAACAAGCTGTTGTGCCAGACATCCTACCAGACCTAGAGAAGTCTGTGGAGTCGTGGCGTGTTTCCTCTCAACTTAAGGCACGCTCGTTTAGCGATAGTTATCACCCAGGTTACAGTAAAATGACTCCATAGAGGTTCAACACCATGAGTGGAGTGCAGAAAAAAAGGACATGACAGAGAAAATGAATGTGAATGTGTAAGGTACACATTAGTGCACGCACAGACTCAATGAGAAACCAGCAATTCCTTGCTGCTGTATAGATCTGTACAACCAGACGGAATATTGATTAACTGTGTTTGGAGTTCAATGTTAGCTAAAGGAATTAAGATTCTGGAAGTCAGAGAGACTAAAGGCTCCGGCTTCCTGAAGAGCGCATTGTGACGGCCATTCTCCTGTTTGTTTTCAGTATTTGCTGATATAAAAAACACTAAAGACAGGCAATGCTGGCAGGGAAGATGAACTGTCTTCTGACAAAGTGATGTGCAGAATGTATAAGTTCTGAAGTTTATAAATCTTTGTCCAGGTTTGCCCTTTTTTATAAGTAGGTGCTGCAATGTAGTTGATGAATGTTAAAAAAGCATCATCTTGTGATGTTTTAAACAAAAGACAATCTATCTTTTTATTTTTTTTATTTTAAATGTTTTATTTTTTCTGTTGAAATGTGAGCTACAGGTTTTGTTATATGATGTATAGGGGCATCATGAGTATTGTCAAATACTACTGGCAACTACACATTGTGTTCCTTTTTTTGTTTTCTTATAAAATATGTCCTGTTTGTTAATGGTGAGCAATAAATAACACAAATGAGCATACGCTTTTTCAGGCATCAGTTATTTTATTGCCAATTATTTAATTATATGGATACCAAAATCTACTGCATGTACATGTTCAACCAAGCTAAATAAAAGTTTACATCATTGACAGTGTGTCTGTCTTAAAAACAAAAGGGTATTATCTGAGAATGGGAGGAATGAGAGCTCATATTTTGGAGTTAAGCCTGATGGTTCGCTGCTTAGACAGTCGTCCTACATCAGCCAACTAGGAATTGCATATGTAGTGAAGCAGAGTTTTTGCCAGAGTCCTACATCTGTCTCCTTTTTGAAACACTTAGCTCATGCATTTCCAGCGTACTGTTCCCAGCTCTGCAGAGCATTTGGACCACCACACAGCAGACTGCTTCCAAAGTCGTTATTTACTTTTCTCTCACACATCCCCAGAAGGAGAGGAAGCACTCCGATGCCGGACTGCTTATGTTTATGCTCTCAACCTGCCAAAGTGGGGGAGAATTAAGTGGCTCTGGCTCTGTTAATTGGGCGTTAATCAGGTGTTGCTCTAATTAAAAGGCAGTTCCGCCCTGTTGGGCCCTGGTAATGAGTTTGTTATTAAATCCACAGAGGATTTTTGTCTCTTTTTCAATTTACCAACAGGGTAGTGCTTAATTGCTGTGTAAATGAGGGGAATGTCCTTGAAGGTCGTCTTGCATCAGCACCCGATCCATGAACAGAATTTTTCTAAAGAGCTTCCCCATCCAAACTTCAAATCCATTCAGTTATGCTCTGTGTTGACCTCCTGCGTCCAGCTGTGCCTCTCAGCAGTGCCTGATATTTTCTCCAGACCTCATTTGCTAAACTGAGAAAGAAAGGTAACCCACTTTCCTTTGTGCATAAAAGTACTTTTAAAATGGATTTCCTTTTCATCTGAAGTTGCTGTTTATATCCCTTGATAGAAGCTGTCTGGGCTATTGAAAGCATGCAGTCTTTTATGGCTACCAGTGTCTCATAGACAAACCCTCCACTTTTCACCTTACACCACCAAAAGCGCTGCTCTTTCACCTTCCTGAAAGAAACGGACCAAAGGTTGAGAATGCCTTTAGAGAAAGACAGGCCAGATCAATGTGGAGATAGAAAGAAAGAGATAGTGAGACGTTTAGGCACAAAGGAAAAAAATTACAGATGAATGGTAGAAGATGTTATACACAGATAGACAGGTGGCCTGATAGACACAGAGAGATTGTGGGTACTGATTGTTGAAGGGCATTTGCTACAGAGACATCAATCAGAAGATGGCACCAAGATTGAGCAGGCCGCTGGCGTTTCCTGCCTGCGGCCTGCAGCATGTGTAGTACACAAGCTGGGCTAAACCACTGCTCTTCATATCAATTAGAGACCAATTATACAGCCATGTCCTACTAATTACGCTGCACTGACACTACGCCACCCCCCAGTATAAAGTGTGTGTTTCTCTTCTCTCCTGTGTGTCTGTGGTTGTGTTCATTGAGATAAATAAATAAACCTGCTGCCTGCCAAGGCGAAGCATCCTTAATCTGATTTTCAGTGCTGTAAGTTTATATTTTGGCAAAGAAAAAAAAAAGACCAAAACACTGTTGTGCTCTGCTTTACCTTTTGGTGGTGCTATTGTAACATCTATTCCTTTGTAATGAAATCTGGTGAAATGTGGGAGACTCTGCTCCCACTTGATGAGTAATGAAATCACAAAAAAAAAAAATCTGTGCATGTATGCATGTGTGTGTTTGATTTCTATTTGTGAGGTAGACAAAGAGTGATTAATATTCTCAAGCATATTTCAGAGGATTTTGAGCCAGAATGTGCCGGACTGCTCAATAAGTCAAGTTTTATTTGGCTCGGTCTGGGAGCGTGATGAATTATGAAATAAAGCGAGAGCTCCATGCTTTTTGCAGTTTTATTTCTCTGTGGTTTACATAATTCACTCAGAACATTTGTAGCTTTCCTGACAGGTTAATGCTGTTGGGTTCAAAGTGAAGACACTGAGGAAATACGCAAAAAGACAAGACAGCAGGGGAGAAACAGACATAAAGATGAGAGAAGGAGAGAACAAAGTACAAAAGGGGAGAGAGGATTTGAGATGTCACAAAATAGTTTCACACTGTCCCTGAATTCTGTACAGCAGTGTGTGGTGTCAGATTTGGATGAACTCTGTACCTTTCTCTTCCTCCCCATCGCTCACCACCAGCTCTCTATAGCCCTGAATGTTCTGATGTAGTCAAAATCAGAGTTTGGCCACTGCAGTATTGTGCCCTCCACTGCATTGTCATCAGTATAAGTGGGCACTTTTTGAAAATGGAAAAATCAGAAAATGTAATGTCTGCAGTCCTACAATTTCAGAAAAAGCAGACAGAGAGAGGATGTGGGGAGAGTACACCTTGTGTCCTTCAGTAGTCTTTCTTGCAGGGACCCGGTTCATCGCTAGAATCTGCAATGAGCCATTGCTCTTTGTGACTGACATCCCACCCAGACCACCCTGCTGATTACATTTGCTCAGCAGAACTGAGTGCAAAGAAGATGGACGGAGAGGGGAGAGACAGAGCTTGTATCAAGGGAAAAGAGTTTCTTGATTTTCCTGCACTTACATTCATCCATTTTCGATTTGAGAGTGCAGGTGTTTTTGCATAGTAGAACTCTCTTTGCTGTCACTGGTACTAACATTGTTTTTGTGTCTTCTTGAGTTTAGACTTGTGGATCCCTGTGTATGTATCTGCCCGCCAGTACCCTTGTTCGTAAGTGGTGTCGTCTCGGACATCTCAGTCCAGACAATGAAGCTGTAGTCCCATTCTCGTCACTCTATTCATCCCTCGCCAACTGTAGCCGCTCCCTTCTCTTATCTCTGTGTGACCAAGGAAATTAAATTACAAATATAATCACTTGGCGCCAGTTTCTTTAACAGTGTGCCTCTGCTTTGCATATAGAGTGTGCTTGCTTTGGAGACACATTGTGTGAAGTTACTTATTGGCCTATTTACGATAATGGGCTCTGCTCTACTAGTGGAGTCACACACACCTTTTCACACTGACAGTGAATGACACGAGGAAGTGAAGCGAGAGGAGGCTAAGGAAAAAAGGGGTATAAAAGTAAGACATTGCGACATGGTTGCAGCCAGATTTTGCACAGGTGAATAATCTAAAAAGCAATGAGGAGATCTGTGAAAATGAGGAGACAAAACACTCACTCAATCACTTCTTTGCTACCTAGTTTACAAACTTTAAGCACTATACACCTCACAAGGAGTAAAAAAAAGTTTTAGGGATGGTAATATTCGTCTGTCAGTTGGTTGGCCCAGTGTCTTTTTTTGACCAGGCATCCATGGTTTCACCCCTCGTTTGGATGGATTGCTGTGAATGTGTTTCATTTTGACATGAATAAACTGTAATACCTTCGATGATCCCCTGACTTTTAATCTAGCACCATAATTGTTCAGTGGTAATAGGTACATTAAAACTTGGCAAGCTTGACACTCTCCGGTCAACTACACGCTAACTTTCTATGAATGTCTGTTAAGATGTTATTTTGTCTTCTGACACCATGTTCAGTTGTTAATAGGCACACTGAAACCTTATCTGGAGGCTCACACAAGAACGACAGCTGCATGCATGTTAATCCCTCGGCTTTATTGTCCCCCCTTCAACAGTACACCTACACAAGGTTCCTACCACATATTTAACCTAATACTACAATAATCACTTCAAACATTAAAATTGTCCAATACTTTGGTTTATGACCAACTGCCCTTCAAAGCTAATGGCATTTATTCTTAGCTGTAGCCTACTTTGTGTTTAATGCTAATTAGCAAATGTTAGCATGCTAATACACTGAGCTAAGATTATGAACATGACGAAGATTAACCCATCTGCATGTTTGCATTGTCACGTTAGCATTTAGCTCTAAGCACTGTTATGCTTAAGTGGCTTTGCATGGCTGTAGACTCTTAGTCTTGTTGCTAAATATACCACAATGCAATGTTTTGCCTTACCAGACGTGTCATTGCCATTATTCAACACTACAGTGATGATAATTCACAAGCCTCCAAAATCTCAATTTACTGCTCGCTGATAGACTAAAGTGAAAGAGTGAACGAGGGAGTGATTTTGGGGACAGCATTATTCCCTCACTCACTTATGCCAACTGCCATCGTGTAGTTAGCTTACATCTATTCCACACACGTTAGACCATCTGACTGAATAAACAGACCACATCTCTCTCTCTCCCTGTCTCTATCTCTCCTGCAGGTCTTTCACAAAAACGGTAGGGATGAAAACCTGTGTATATTAGAATGATGTGCCTCCCACGGGAGCCAAAAGAGAAACTTGGTAAAGGAAGAGTGAGGGGAGTATGAATAAAAGAATAGCATTTTTATCATTGTTATTATGAGAAGGCCATCACAGGCCTCCCTTGCCTCTTTCATTATTCCCTATTCAGTTAGGAATTCATTTGGTTATGCAGAAGCTGTTATACTTGCCTGTACAGGCAGACCAGCAAATGAAAAACTGTATCAATGCCTTTGGATCTACCCAGTCCCAAAGCGCTCGCCGAGCAGGTGGATGGTGTATTTATTTGTGATCTTTATGTATTCTGTGCTAGTTAGTCTCCCCTCCAACTACAGGGACCACACGTTTGTCAGTCCCTTCCTGAGGCATCTCTGTATTTTGCTGCAGTGAACAGACGCTATATGCCCCTGAGTCAGGCTCAACTGCTCGATTCCTTTCAGTGTAGTCCAATCCACAGACTACATATGACTCTCTGAATTCTGAAAAAAAGATGGGACTTTCCCAACTATTGTTCTCAAACAATTATTGTATATGTCTGCTCCTGTGCTCATAAAGCCCATAGCTATCATCATCCTCACCACCAGCAGGTTACCGTGTGGCCAGGGTGGTAAAATAATGGCTCCCCGCTGGAATGTGTGAATCATTGCAATGACTAGTTGATAAATGCTCCACCACCCAGGCTCTGGCTCCAGTAGTAATTTCTCTCTCCAACTGGACTGGCTGCCAAATGACAACAACCTCCCTCCCCAAGCCCCCACCTATCCACAGCATCCTTTACAGCCCCTCCCTTCACCTCCTATAATTACTGTAC